AAACGAATGATCTTCTTGGGATGAAGAGATCAGGGAAGACTCTTCACAGAGGAGTAGAGGCCGAACTCGAACTTACCTTCAACAACATCCAAATACCTCAGACATGCTCCATATGGCCTCTGCTAACTCCCAGGGAGCCAGTAGTAATTGCATGTGCATTGCAGAAACCAGCCATCAGTTGTCTTCATTCAAACAAATCTGTGTGAGAACTCACTGTATACTAGGTGCTATTCTAAGGTGCTTGGGATATCTCAAATGAATAGAGCAAACAAAAAAGAAGAAAAAAATCCCTGCCATCATGGAGCTTACATTCTAGCAGGAGGGAAAAGAGAACAAATAATTAACAAAATAAACAAAAAAAAGTATATACAAAAAAAAGTTCATGGAAAGATTCGTATTACCATCCAGGTGGGGGTGCAGCTGGCTGGTACGGGGATTGGACCCTGGGCCTTGGTGTTATCAGCATCACACTGTAACCAACTGAGCTAACCGGCCAGCCCTACCTTTCAATTCTGTTTTTCTAAGAACTTTCTGAAGTACCCTCATAGTATTAAAGGGTTATAAGTACAATGGAGAAAAATGGAGTAGGATAGAGAGTAAGGGGAATTAGTGTTTGAATAGGGGCAGGGACAGGTTGCAATTTTAAATTCAAAATAGGTCTTATTTTGCATATTTTTGGACCAAAATTTTTTGTGTTTGTGTAAGAGGGAACAAGGGAGGAAGATGATTTAAGAACAACGTTGGAAGCCTTTTGGGTTATTCTTACACATGCTCAAGTTTGAAAACCACAGCCGTAGAGAATGCTGGGAGCAAAATTACTTAGGATCCTGGTACCTGGACAACCTCATTGAATAGACACTTAAAAGCCCTGGACTCTGATTTCTGATGAGAGAGCGAGCTCCTTTCTTAACTCATGACCAAACCTGAGTCCTAATACAGGTAGGGTGGGTGAGGGATGAGGAGCAACAACCAATATAGCAAAAATCAGGAGAGGAAAGAAATAGTATCTAAGTATAATAAATGAGAAACAAGATGCAAGGAATAAAATCAAGTAAAAAAAAATGTTGGGTAGTCTCTGGATATGTGAAATGAATATAGTAAATTAACCCCCTAGTTTTTTAACCCCTTGTTTTTCATATGCAAATATTCCCATTGTGATGAAGATAGATTCAAAGCAATGATTACAAGATTTATGCCATCAATGTTTCCAAAATAATCCTGTGGGACAAGCGACAAGACTAGGTTCAGATTGGATGCAGTGATTTCTACCTCCTTGGATTTTAGTAGATTGATAAAACAGCCCACATGAGAAGTCATGGGGACTAGAAAGTAAGTAGTATGATCAAGACAGACTGCTAAAGTTTTGAGACCTCTGGCCTTCCCCTTGACCCCTGGATCTCACCTCATCTTCTAGGGAGCCCAGATGCCAATAGCCAGTAGTTCCTGGCTGCCCTCTATGAGCTAGTGTACATTACCCCCTTATCTCCAATAATCACTGCAGCCCTGTAAAGGAGGAATTGTTCTGTGGTTGAGTAAACTGAGGCCCAGAAATTTCTGGCAACTTCAACTTCTGGAACTGGCCTATGATTTGCCGCCTGTCCTTTCTTTATTAAGTGTCTGTGTCCTACCAACAAACAAATCTTTCTAAAACACTGCATTTCCCATATGACTCGTTACACAAAAACCCTCATTGAATTCTTACTGTCAATACTAAATTAGTTTCAGAGCATGGCTAGGTTCCTAGTATATGTTCCATATAGTATATGAATATATGTGTATATATATATATTTTAAAGTTCATGCTCATTGTAGGGGAGGAGGGAGAAATCTGAAATGTGGGAGAGGAAAAAACAATGCCTGTAGGTTCTGGCAAAGACAACCACTATTAACATTTTGTTATTTCTTCTTTGTTATTCATATAAATTTTTAAACAATTGTACTTATTTTATACATGAAATACTGTATTCTGGTTTTTTACTTAATGCAAGCATCATAAACATGTTCAATATTACTATGTAATCTTTTTTAACTATTGTGTAAAAAAAATATATATATATATGCACAGTACTACATAATATTTTAAACATTGTTTTAATGGCTAAGCATATAATCTATGAAGTTGATGTCCCATAGATCATTTAACAATTCCATTACAATCGGATATTTAGGTTGTTTCCAACTTTTCACTCTTTTAAATAAGGTTATACTGTATTAGCATCCTTTGACAGAAAGGGTCCCCCTGCCAATTTTAGGATTATTTTCCAGAAACAGAATTAATAAAGGGTTTAGTTGCTATGGCCATTTGTGTCCATATGCCTGCCTGGAATGTTCTCTTAATCCTGCCTGCTTTGCACAACAGATTTCAGACTGCATCTCACTGATAAATCTTCCCTGACTATTTTAACCCATGCTCACCTCTCCCTTTACTGACCATGGGTGCACAACATTGGGAATAACTCCTGCCTTTGCAACTGTGTCACCTCCTTGAGGGCATGTCCCACGTCATATGCCTGATTTGTATCCTTTGAAATGCTCCTGATGGTTAATAAATACTTTACCTTTCTGTTTCTTCTTAAAGGAAAATTCAGTTACAAGGTGGCATCACTTCTATTGCACTGCGAGGAGAAGGACACCAGTTTTTTGTAGGAACAGAAGAATCACACATTTATCGTGTCAACTTCACAGATTTCAAAGAGACTCTCATTGCAACTTGTCACTTTGAAGCTGTCCAGGACATTGTCTTTCCATTGTAAGTAGACAAGGAAAATAAGAACATGGAGATTTGAAGCAGTGTACTGGGAATTTAATTTTATGAATGCATTTTCAACATCTCTTAACATAAGTATGATTTTTTTCCATCACATTTTTCTAATGTAGTGAATTATTTTATTAAGCTTTCTATTGTCTTCACCATGCAATTACATTAGTTTTCCAAATTCAGATTTGGGTTTCTTTAGAATGTTGACTTTTCTAATAAACCTATCAAAGAAAGGGTAAACACCTGGCAAAACTTTTCTATGTTTTCCCAATGCCATCTGGAAAAAGCTTAGTAGTGCCTTTTTCAAACTTCTTTCCAGGCATTCATTTGTACCTCTTGGGGTCTCTCAAATTTGTCAGACTTTATGATGGTGGGTATAAGAGGTCTTCTGGATCTAGTTGCTATATTTCTTGGTAAATCCCACACAAAACAAATAAAACAAATAACCATCAGCAATTCTGATATCCAAAAGAGTTTCAGTCACAGTGGGCCATTATTTGATTTTAAACATTTTTGAACATTTCGAGCCTTTCGTGAGATTCATTTCACGAAGTTGGTCAGTTTTTACTTTGAACTTCCTCAGTATTTAGCTTGAATTTACAAATTGTTCTGAAGATCACCATGACTTACTTTCAGTCCTTGAGATCATGAGCTGTAGTTTTGGCTCCCTGTGTCCTTGTGATTAGGTTCTTACAAATATTTCTAACAGCGACAGTGGCTAGTGATTTCCCATTAGGTGAATCTTTACTGGGAAACTGGTCCTTTCCTTTCTGTCTAACTTTTTTTCTCTTTAAAAAGCTTGTTAGGGGCTGGCCCGGTGGCGCACTGCTACAGTGCGCCGCTTGGGAAGCGCGGGGGCGCTCCCGCCGAGG